TGGCTCACTGCAACCTCCACCTCCCGGGTTCAAGCAATTCTCCTGCCTCAGCCTCTTGAGTAGCTGAGATTACAGGCACGCACCACTACGCCCAGCTAATTTTTGTATTTTTAGTAGAGACGGAGTTTCACCGTGTAGGCCAGGCTGATCTCGATCTCTTGACCTCGTGATCCGCCCGCCTCAGCCTCCCAAAGTGCTGGGATGATAGGTCTGTGCCCCCTTTTAAGGCTGTGCATGTCATTTATGCTCAAGCAACCCTCTTAGATTCACCGGCCTCAGTCCTGCGGCGCCGAGCCCCCACCTACCGTCCTCTGTGCAGCACACACAGTGCAGGGAGCCAGTGGCAATGGCGATGACTTTCTTTCCCTGCAACCCTTGGACCTGCCGAGGCCTTCGAACATGGTCATCCGATCCATGGCCCAACCTGTGATAATCGCCTTTGCCCCTGCACATGAAGGAAGCATAGAAATTATGGAGCAAGGTCATCTCATTGACCACCCTGCCCAGCCTCCTAGGCAGCCTCTGCTCTTCAGGACACAGCCATAGCCTGCTGCAGAAGGTACATTCCCATCCACGAAAAGGTAGTGAGCACACCCCAATTAAAATCTGGTTTTAGTGGGTTTAAACAGAATTTTGCATACCAGGTATAAACAGCTCCAGATTTGGTAAGGGCAACAGAAAACTGGGATCCGCATTCCACTTTAACTACTCCAAGACCAGTAAGAGAATCAATCTAGAAGGGGAAAAAGTTCAATTAGACAGACAGCATCAAGGTCCCTGCGGACTGCTATAACCACACTGAGATTTAACTAAATCTAGTAGGAATTCTGAAAACTTGTATCTATGATGAATAATTAGTGCAACTGAAAATCATATTCCACTTAATCTGAGCACTCCCAGAAAGCAGGGGGGACCGTGACTGACAACGTGCCCACTGGCACATTGTGGCCCGGCGGGACCCAGCACATGGCACTGGAAGGGGAAGCTCTGCAGGTGAGGCCTGCAAGCCTCTCCCCAGAATGGCCTCCCCCAGCCGTGCTTCTCTGTGCAGCAGCACCATAATCCGGCAGTCCCTGTGTCTCTCCTCACCTGTCCCAGCCCTCTCAGACCAGAGGCCCGCGGGGAAGGAGCAGCAGGCAAGGGGAGGGATGGCCAAGAGCAGTGGGCCCCACCCATCCTCCACACTGCACACTTGCCAGTCAACACTTTTCCTTATCCTGCAAGCTGCTCCTCATGACCTCGGCGATTGCTCTCATATGTAAGTTCTCATATTCAATTCTAAACTCAAATTAATTAAAACTGACTTCATTCTCTTAATGAGCTCTCCCCTGGTGTCTGGCCCTACCACAATGGCCTCAGGACATCCTGCTCCAGCCCCTCTGATGCCTAGCATCCTCACCCTTGAAAGTGCAAAGCCCAGGCTCTTTCCCGCAAGAAGGGGCCTCTGACGCATGCCACTGGTGAGGGTCTGCCCCAGAGGCACCTGTGCCACACCTGCAACCCCACAGCCCCACGAGAGAGGAGGCTGGGCAGAGACAGGTTCACAGCGCCAGGCTCCCAAGTATCCAGCAGAGCGCCTGGGCTACACGGCAGTGTGGTGCACACACTGATGTCACTGAGCAACATGTGCAGGACCTGAACCACATACCAGCCACCCGTTCATAAGAACAAAAGACATTCTGGCAAAGCTAAAAAATCACCTGGAGCCACGAGGCTTGTGTGGAGCAGAGCCGCCGACCCCACCAGGGCTGCAGGACTCGGGCGCTGGTGCAGGCCCTACTCTCGTTCCTCACAGGACACCCACCTGAGGTGGCCCTGGCTAACCCAGATGCAGTCCCTTTAGCAAGCACTGGCACCCCCAGGCATGAGCCGTGGCAACTTCACACCACTATGAACTAAGAGAGTGTGAGCCTACATGCTAAATAAACCGGGGGGCTCCACGGTGCCCGGATGATCCCATCCACTTCTCAAAAGAACGCACACAGCACATAAAACACCGTATTCCCTCTAGGCCCTCCACACACTTTCTAGCCAATTACCCACTCTATTTACTGGAAAGAAGGTAAAGAGGAGGTTAAAGTGCTCACAGAGGGTCAGTAATGGGGGCTCTGAGGCCATGTTTTCCCAGAGGGCCCCTGGGGACCCCTGACTGGGGTGAGCTGGGAGAGCACTGGGCAGGGCAAGAATGGGAAGTACCTTCATTGGCACTTTACAGCCATCGCTGCCTCCTCGGCCAAGCTTGCCGTAGTCCCCGTCCCCCCAGGACCAGACAGTGTCGTCGTCCGTAAGGCAGAGGGTCTGGGCGTCTCCGCTGCCACAGGCGATGTCTACCACACGGTGGCCCTGCAGCGCCTCCACCTTCAGAGAAAAGGGACTTGGGTTGGCCGAGCACAACACAAGAAGGCTTGCCACAGGAGTGGCTTCACGACACTGCCATTCTTTTTTTATGGGGGTACCTGTTTTAAGCCTTTACACAGATGATTTCTAAAATCCTATAAGACAAAAGAGAAAGCACCTTCATCTGTTTGAACTACATGCATCTAAACGATAGGAGAAGGTATTAGTGTCTTTGATGAGCCAACCCTACATCACCATGAAGGCTGTTTATTCACTTCTGGCACCCAAAACTACAGTGGGCCTTCTCGAAGCCAAAGCATTTTTCTAGACGCCAAGCAATATTTACCACTACAAAGAAAAGGATGTTTAAATGACTCATGGAAGAAATATGTACCAAGATGATTTTTATTTCCACCAGAAAGAACTTCTACTTGTAAATGGGGCTATGATCAACAACCCTAAAACCAAAAAAATCTAGAACAGCAAATACTTTGGAATTTTAAAATCATAGCGACGGTGGCAAACCGCCCCCATCTGACAGCAGCAGCGAGGAGCGTGCAGCCCCCGGCCCCCGCACACGGCGCCTCCTCACCAGCTTCGGCTTCAGCTGGTCCTCGCTGTCGCTGTGCCCCAGCCGGCCGTAGCGGCCTTTGCCCCACGTGTAGAGGTCCCCGGCTGCTGTGACACAGGCACTGTGGGCTCCACCAGCAGCAACATCGACCACTTCAATTCCTCTCAGAGACTCAATGACACGAGGGCGGTCACACGGACTGCAAAAAAGTCACCAAATAGAACGGAAATACATTTTTCTTCTTAAACATTTTTCAGCGTGTTAAATACCTCTCAATCTACACCTTCCTAATCAGTTAATTGCTAAATCAATCAAGAAGAATCATTCAGACCTGAACTCAAAAGGTCACCACGTCCGACCTCCTTCCAGTACAAGGCCAGAGGGCAGGGCTTCCCCAGTTCTGACTCAGAGGCTGGAAAGTGACCACACATACCGGGCCAAGTTCGAAGCACAGCCCATTTTTCAAAGGTCTATGAGTTGAGAACAGGTTTTACATTTTAAAGGGTTTAAAAAAAAAAAAAAGAATCATATGCAACTCCTAAAATAGTCACCATCTGGCCCTACAAGGAAAGTTTGCATTTCACCCCCACTACGAATTAACAATTCATTAAGGAGTTTTAACATATGCATGTCACTAGTCTGTAACACAGTGACTACTGATAACAAACTTTTTCTTTTCTTATTAAGTTTTGAAAGAAGCTCTTTATATATTGTGGCTATCAGACCTTAGTCAGATTATATGATTGTGAATATCCTTTGCCAGCTCATGGCTTCAGTCTCTTCACAGTGTCTTTCAAAGAACAGTTCGTAATTTTTTATAAAGTCCAAGTTATATCTTCCTTTCATGAATCATGCTTTTGGAGTTCAATCTAAAAATCTTTTCTGACCTAAAGTCACAAAAATTTTCTCATGTTTTCTTCTAGAGCTTTTTAGTTTTACGTTTTACATTCATGACTTTGGTTCATTTTGAATGTTGGGATATAGTGTAAAGTACGAATTTAAGTTCATTTCTTGCCATAGGCTAACCAATTATTCAAAACCACTTGTTGAAAAGAGTGTATTTTCTCCAATGAATTGGCTGTGCACTCTTATAAACTGCGCACTAGAAATTGTGAGAAGTCCAGTTTCATTTTTCCACACTCGTCCTGTCAGTACTGCCTGCCAGTTTCTGGATTCTCTCTTCTGCTCCACTGATGTATCTGCCTCTCTCTTTACGCCAGCACCAAACCACATTGTTTACTGCAGCTATAAAATGAGGCTTAAGTCAGGTAGTGCGAGTCTTCCGACCTTTTCCTCGTTTTCAGAGTTGATTGGACTATTCTAGGCCATTTGCAGCTCCATACGTTTTATGTTTGGCTTATCGATTTCTATAGAAAGCTTGATTGAGAAGGTGTTGAATCTACAGACTTGAGGATAACCAGCAAATTAACAAGACGGACTCTTCTGCTCCATGAACACAGCATGCCCCCTCAAGACTTTAGGTCTTTCAAAAATTAGCTGAGCAATACTTCGTAGTCCTCTGTCTACAGGTCATTCTCATTTTGGGGTCAGATTTATCCCTTAGTTTTTCAATTCTGGGAAGAGGGTAAATGGTATTTTAAAATTTCACTTTCTGGTTACATATATGTATATGTATAGACATATAAGAAACTTTTATTTATTGATCTTCTATCCCTCAACACTGCTAGCCTCACTTATCAGTTCTAGTAACTTTTGTAAACACCATCAAGTTCTCTGCATAAACAATGTTTTCTGCAAAAAAGACAGTTTTAATTCTCTTTTCAATCTAGATGCCTTTTATTTCTTTGCCCTGCTGTACTGCACCTACTTAACCTGCTGTACAATGTTGAAGAGAAGTGGTGATAGCAGACATCCTTGCCTTGATCCTGAACTCGGGGAAAGCTTTCCATCTGTTGCCATTAACTACAATCTAAGCTCTAGGTTAACAGAAATGCCCTTTATCAGGTAAAGGAGGAGATCTTTTACTCCTAGACTACTCAGAGATTTTACATAAATGGATGTTGGAGTTTGCCAAATTACTTTTTTCCTCCTCTTTATTAAGATGATCATATAGTTTTTTTTACATTGATTGATTTTTCTAATGTTAAACCAAACTTGTGATTTCTGGCAAAAATATCTCACTTGGCCACACTATGTATTACTTAATTCAACATTAAAAACTTTTACATCTATGTTCATGAAGGATATTGGTCTGTATTTTCCTAGGAATGGCTGAGTCTGACTTTGATATGAGTAAAGCTATCCTCAGAAAAACGAGTTGAGAATTCCCTCTGCCAATTTTCTGAAAAAGTTTATGAAGAATTGTTATCTGTTAGCTATATGTCTGTTAGAAATCACCAGTCATCTGGTCCCAGACATTTGTTTGCAGGAAATTCAATTTCTTAGACACAAGTCATCTATTTCTTCTTGAGTGAGCTGTGAAGAGTATGTGTCCTTTGAGGAACTTGTCTATTTCATCTAAAAAGTCAAATTTCTTAGCATTAAGTTGTACATTATGCTTAATTATTTTTTAATATCTGTATACCCTGGGGTGAGGAAAACTTCTCTATTCCTAATATTTCTAAAATTTGTAATCTCCTTTTTTCTTGATGAGTCTAGACAGAGATTTTAACAATTATATTGATCTTCTCAAAGAACTGGTTTTGTTTCCTTTATCTCTATTGTTTTTCCATTTTCTATGTTATGGATTCTGCTCTGCTCTTTCTTACTCCTTCTCTTTCTTGTGTTTACTTTGGATTGTATCCATCCTTATTGTTCTTTTCTAAGATGGATACTAAGGTCATAGTTCTGAGACCATTTTTCTTTTTTAAAATAGGCATTTCATGCAATAAATTTCCTTCTAAGTTCTGCTTTTGCTGGATCCCACACATTTTGGTACACTGTTTTCATTTTCACTCTTCAAAATTATTTGTAATTTACTTTCTGATTCATTCTTTGATCCATTAGTTATTTAGAAATGTTTTACTTTCAAAATACTGGAGGTTTTCCAAGAATCTGTTATTAATTTCTAATTTAATTTCCCTGCGGACAGAGAACATATTGTACATAACTTGAACCTTTCTGAGGTGTAAGATTTGTTTTATGGCCCAAATCATGATCTATATTGGTAGGTATTCCTCATGCACTTGAAAAGAATGTAGTTTGTCCAGTAGAGTGTTCTAAAAAATGTCAGTTAGGTCAGGTTAGTTGATACAGCTGTTCAAATCTTCTTTCCATTTTTTTAATGTACTTGTTCCATCAATTATTGAAGAAGGGGTATTCGAATCTCTAGTTACAACTGTGGATTTGTCTATTTCTCCATGCAGTTTTATTTTAATTTCATGTATCCGGAAGATCTACTCTGAAGGGTGCAAAGGTTTAAGATATTATGTCCTCTTGATGAACTATCCACTGCATCATCTGGATACTATTCTTTCTGTCCCTGTCAATATTGTTTGCTATGAATTCTACTTTGTATGACATTAACACAGGCATTCCAGCTTTCTTTTGATGTACATTAGCATGATATGTATCTCCCTGTCCTTTCGCTTTTAGCCTATTTATGTGTCTGTATTTAAAGTGGGACCCCTGAAGGCAGCGTATGGTTTGATCTTGCTCTTATATCCATTCTAACAACTTCTGACTTTTAACTGGGTTGTTTGAATCATTTACAGTTGATGTGATTAACATATTTGGCAGCTGGGGTGCAGCGGCTCACACCTATAATTCCAGTGCTTTGGGAGACCGAGACAGGAGGACTGCTTGAGGCCAGGAGTTTGAGACCAGCCTGGGCAACAAAGCAAGACCTCACCTCTACAAAAAATAAAAATAAATTAGCTGGGCGTGGCAGCACGAACCTGTAGTCCTAGCTACTCAGGAGGCTGAGACAGGAGGATTGCTTGAGACCAGGAATTCAAGGCTGCAGTGAGTCATGATCATGCCACTGCACTCCAGCCTGGGTGACAAAAGAATACCCCAGCTCTAAAAAAAATGTGTGTGCCTCTTAGGTTTAAATCTGTATCTTGCTTATTTATCTGTTCTTTGTTGCCATTTTCCTCTTGCTTTCTTTTAGATGAACTGATTATGTTTTACGACTTCACTTCAACTTCTTTGTTGGTTCATCAGATAAAAACTCCTGTGTTATTTCAGTGATTGCTTTGGGGGTGTGTAGATTACATCTCTAACTTATCACAGTCTACTCTGAAGTCCTATACTGCCGCTGTGTAAGAACTCCCCAAGTCTACTTCCACTTCCTCCCCCCGGCTTTGTGTTACAATTAACTTCTGTGTAGGTTTTAAACACCTTAACTTATTTGTATTATGTGCCTGACATACTCAATTATCTCTTTCAAAGATCTGTATGGTAAGGAAAAACGTCATGACATTAATGTTTCTTCATTCCTTTGATAGATTCATGATTCTATCTGGTATAACTTTCCTTCTATTTAAAGAAATTCGTTTAAGGTTTTGGTTGTGCAGGTCTGTGGTTCTTTCAGTTTTTGTTTATGTAAACAACTCTATTTCGGCCGGGCGCGGTGGCTCATGCCTGTAATCCCAGCACTTTGGGAGGCCGAGATGGGCGGATCACGAGGTCAGGAGATCGAGACCATCCCGGCTAACACAGTGAAACTCCGTCTCTACTAAAAATATAAAAAAATTAGCCGGGCGTGGTGGCGGCGCCTGTAGTCCCAGCTACTGGGGAGGCTGAGGCAGGAGAATGGCGTGAACCCAGGAGGCGGAGCTTGCAGTGAGCTGAGATCAGGCCACTGCACTCCAGCCTCGGTGACAGAGCAAGACAAAAAAAAAAAAAAAAAACAACTCTATTTCAACTTTATTCTTGAAAAAATATTTCTGCTGAGTAAAAAAAAAAAAATACGTTGGCAATAATTTTAACTTACAGAAAACCCACTGTCTTCTAGCTTGCATGATTCCTCAGAGACATCTGCAGCTAGGCTTATCTTTCTTCTTGTAACTTGTTTGGTCACCCCCACCCCGGCCCATCCTCACCCCAGCTGCTTTTAAAACATTTTTCTCTTTATCTCTGGTCTTGATCCATTCACCTTGGTGTAGTTTTCTTCATATTTCTTTTGCTTAGGGTTCTTTAAACATCTTGTATCAGTGGATTTATCGTTTTCAACAAATTTGGAAATTTTTTAGCCATTATTTCTTCAAAACGCTGCATGTTCCCCTCCTTTGGTGGCTCTCATCATGCATATATTAGGACATCTGAGGTTGTCCTACAGTTCACCTCTCTGATGTTCTGTTCATTTGTACAGTCTTCTTTCTGTTTCACTCTGGATAGTTTCTTTCATTATGTCTTCAAGTTCACTGATCTTTTTTTCCTGTAATGTCTAATCTGCCATTAATCCCATCCAATGTATTTTTCATCTTTAGAACTTTGATTTGGGCATTTAAGTATCTTCCAGGCTTTATCTAACACATTCAAGTTCTCTTCTAGCTTCCTGAAGATATGGTATATGGTTAAAATAACTATTTTAATAAAGTTCTTATCTAGTAATTCTACCACTGATACCATTTCTGAGTCAGTTTCAACTGATGACTTTTCTCCTCACATAAGCTGTATTTTCCTGCTCCCCTGCATGGTTGGTAATTTTTTATTGGAGGCAGGAAATTGTGAAATTTACCTTATTGGGTGGTTCATGTTTGTATTCATAAAAATATTCTTGAGCTTTGATCTCTGTGATAAGTTACTTATAAGTAGTTTAATCCTTTCAGGTCTTGCTTTTAAGCTTTGTTGGTGGGATGATAGCAACAATTCGTCTGTGGCTAATTTTTCAATACTGGGTAACATCATTCTCAGTACTTTAATCGTTGCCCTGTAAACTGTGAGGTTTGGGGATCTAGCTCCGTCTCCCTGCCATGTGAGCTCTGGGGACTATTCTTTCTCATCCTTTGGGCAGTCTGTTCTTCAACCTCCCAGCTGTGAGTGCTGTATTAGGCTCTGCAGGTCTCCGCAGTCCTCTCTGTGCAGCTCTCTCCACTCTGGTACTCTGCAGACTCTGTATATCTTGGCCTCCCTGGACTTTCAGTTCTATCTCCTCTATACTAAGGGAGTCTGCCAGAATCTGCCTGGTGTTCTCTTTCCTGTGTCACAGCCTGGAAACTTTCTACAGGAAGTGCATTGGGCAATTTTTAGAACTTGCCTTGTTTTTTACTTTTCATTTAAAAAACATTTTAATTTTTAATTTTTGTGGGTACATAGATGTATATATTTACAGGGTATATGAAATATTTTGATTCAGGCATACAGTGTGTAATAATCATATCAGATGATTATTATAAATAATATCATGATTAAAATCATATCAGATGATTATTATAAATAATGATAAATGGGTTATCCATCACCTCAAGCATTTATCCTTTCCTGTGTCACAAACAATCCAATTATAATTTAGTTACTTTAAAACTTACAACAAGTTATTGTTGCCTACAGTCACCTGTTGTGGTATCATACTTGATCTTATTCATTCTACCTAACTATATTTTTGTACCATTAACCATCATCCCTGAGAATTCTCCTTGTTTCCCATGATTCAGAGAACACTGTATTTTGTTGCCTGATATTCAATGTCTTTGGGACTGTTGTTTATTTTATTTTTTAAGACAGGATCTCACTCTGTCACCCAGGCTGCAATGCAGTGGCACAATCTCAGCTCACTGTAACCTCCACCTCCCAAGTAGCTGGGACTATAAGTGTGCACCACACATCTGGCTAATTTTTTTTCTATTTTTCGTAGAAATGGGGTTTTGTCATGTTGCCTAGGCTGGTCTTGAACTCCTGAGTTCAAGCAACCTGCCTACCTCAGCTTCCCAAAGTGCTGGAATAACAGGCGTGAGCCACCACACCGGACCAGTTTAATATATTTTATATGGTGTTTTAGTTATTCCTAGGATAGGAAAGCCCCTGTTACTGCAATCTGTTTGGTAGTTCTCATTAATTTTTTAAAACTTGTGAGTTTGGTTCGTTTGTTTAAAAAATGGTGTCAATGCTGTGTGCTTTCTTCCTCACTCCTGCCATTTTCTCTGTATGTGCAGTTCTAGTACCACACGTTACACAAAATGCCAAACGTGATTCAGTAGATGATTTAAGGGAGAAGGATAAAAAAACCACTGACTTAGGACTTGTCAAAAACTCAGAATTGACTTTTCCTCTCCACAGAGGAGTCATATGGGTAAGCCTTCATACTGGAACGTAACACTATTTCTGCCAAATGAGTCATTCACATTATTTAGTTTGAGCAGATTGCTGTAAATGTTACCTTGGAAAACAAAGAGCCAATAAACTGCAGCAGCATCAAGACAAACAAACAAAGACAAATAAAAGGTTGAAACAATGTCTTCACATCATACCTTCTGTTGCCATGCCCCAGCTTCCCATCTTCTGCCTCACCCCAAGAGTAAACTTCTCCTTCTGAAGACAGGGCAAGGCAGTGCTTTCCTCCTGAGTTCACAGCTACTTTCTTAATAAACACATGCTGAATGGATTCAAGCAATGTTGGGGTAGACACCGACTCTGTCCCTCCAATGCCTAGTCTGCCACCTGCACCATACCCAGTGGCATACAGCTAAGAGAAGAAAAAGCAACATCAGTTTCCAATCTCAATATCCCCCAAATTTAGTAATTCATAAATCCATGCTTTAGACATTTTTATCACATAGAAATAAAATTTAAAGTTAAAAATCTCAGGAATGTAAGTTTATGAGTTTATACGTGCTCTACCAAAGTTCTAGAAATGAAATAAAAACATGACTATTAGAAATTCCAAATTCAAAAAACATATTGTGAAAATAAGGTCTTCTCCCTGGAAACTCTTCCATTTTTGTGTAGAATAACAACTACAATTAACACCAAGAAAAGCAAAAAACAATTTAATTACCTACTATATGCAAATCTCTGACAATAACAGCCACAAAAACATATCCATAAAAGAACACAAACACATTTTAGTATTTCAGCAGGGCAGCATATAAACCACACGGGAAAAAAAGTCTTTTCTTTTTTTTTAAATCTAAGTGGGAATGTTTTAGGACACAAAACATCTATGATTAATTAAAAAACATGACTAATGTAAAAACACATACACATGCAATCAGACTGCCGTTTTCCAAATGAAGGCAAACATCCCTCCTGATAAAAACTTAAATGCTGTTCCATGCTGTTTCAGACACCTTTCGAACGTGCTGCTGCACTGACATAATAGTAAGGAAGCCACAAGGGCCAACGCAGGAAGTGAAACCCAAACTCAGGTGGATAAACAACCTCCGCCCCCAAAGCCAGCTTCGGTGGGGAGGGTGTAAGGCTCTCGGGTGCACAGTAATGCGGCGCGCCTCCAAGGACTTCCTGCAGAAAGTGGGGCTCCAAAGGGTTGCCCCTCAGTGACTGCGAATAAGAAATAAGAACAACAGAGAAAGCTGCCCTTCTCAGCCTCAGCTCTGACAGGGAGACAGAGGCTTGCCCCTGAGAATTCATAACTACTGGCAAATTATAGCCCATGGGCCACATGAGGCCCATCATTTCTTTCTGTAAATGAAGTTTTACTGGAACACAGCCACACCCACTCATTTATAGAATGTCCAGGGCTGCTTTTGAAGTTGCAACAGAGACCACATGACCCAAAGCTGAAAACACTATTGTACCCTTTACAGAAAGTCCTTACCAACCCCTACCCTAGAAAAAGGACAAAATAAAGATATTTTGAAACAAACAATCAGAATTAACCAACAAAATAATTTCACTGAAGTAAACTGAAAAAGATATGATAAAGGAGAAGGAAATTATTTTGTAAGATCTGAGACATAACAAATGATGGTAAGAAATGACAGTAAGCAAAGATGTGCAACATTTGGCTAACTGTAAAAAAACTACGGTCCATATAAAACAACCAAAACAACAACACTAATGTCCATGGCGGAGGAAATAGGTTAGAACCCAAACACTGGGTAACAAGGGGTCACTGATTGGGAGAAGGGGAGAAATACTAATTAACTTTAGGTTTTTAACTACATATGTTAAAATAACCAGAGAAGCAACGGAAAGAAACAGAATTCTCCTGAGAACTGACAAAGAGGAACTATATTTCAAACCTTTTTGTGCGGCTAGACCACGTCGACACCTGCGCTAGCAGTGTGCCTCTGACACGGTTTACAGTGATCCCTGCTTCCAAATAAGCGCGCTCCTGTGTACAGGCACACCCCATTTGACTGTGCCTCGCTTTCCTGTACCTCCAGATACTGCTGTTTACAAACCGAAGGTCTGTGGCAACCCTACACTGATCAAGTCTCTCGGCGCCATTCTTCCAGCAGCACGTGCTGACTTACTGTCTCTATGTCATGTTTTGAAAATTCTTGCAATATTTTAAACTTTTTCATTATTATTTTATCTGTTATGATGATCTGTGATCACTAATGTTTGATGTTACTGTTGTACTTGTTTTGAGGCACCACAAACCACACCCATAGAAGACGGTGAACTTAAACGGTGAATGTTGTGTATGTTCTGACTGTTTCGCCAACAGCTGTTCTCCCACCCCCTCTCTCCTCAGACCTCTCCCTCTCCTCAGACCTCCCCTCCCCTCAGACCTCCCCTCTTCCCAGACCTCTCCCTCTCCTCAGACCTCTCCCTCTCCTCAGACCTCCCCTCTCCTCAAACCTCTCCTCTCCTCAGACCTCCCTATTGTGTCCCTGAGACCCAACTTATATAGAAATTAGGCCACTTAATAATCCTACAGTGGCCTCTAAGAGTTCAAGTGAAAGGAAGAGTTGCATATTTCTCATTTAAGTCAAAAGCCAGAAATGATTAAGATCAGTGAGGAAGGCACGTTGAAAGCCAAGACAGGCTGTAAGCTGGGCCTCTCGCGCCAGTTACCCAATAAGAAGTTCTTAAAGTACAATTAACACACAAATGATTAGAATGCAAAACAGTCTTATTGCAGATATAGAGAATGTTTGACTGGCACAGACAGAAGATCAAAACAGACACAACATTCCCTTAAGCCAAAGCCTAATCCAGCCTAACTCTCCTCAATTCCACGAAGGCTAAGAGAGGTGAGATGGCTGCAGAAAGAAAGTCTGAAGGTAGCAGAGATTGGTTCCTAAGTTTAGTGAAAGACGCCATCTGCATAACATAAAAGTGCAAGGTAAAGTAGCAAGTGCTGATGTAGAAGCTGCAGCAAGTTACCCAAAAGATCTAGCCAAGATCAGTGATGAAGGTGGCCACACTAAGTAGCAGGCTTTCAGCGTAGATGGAACCGTCTATCAGAAGCAGACGCCATCTAGGACGTTCATAGCTACAGAGAAGTCAATGTTTGCCGTCAAAGCTTCAAATCTTTTGTTAGGGGCTAATGCGGCTGGTCTGTATTAGCTGAATTTGTTGAAGTCAATGCTCACTGACCATTCTGAAAATCTTAGCGCCCTTAAGAATTATGCTAACTCGGCCGGGCGCGGTGGCTCAAGCCTGTAATCCCAGCACTTTGGGAGGCCGAGGCGGGCGGATTACGAGGTCAGGAGATCGAGACCATCCTGGCTAACACGGTGAAATCCCGTCTCTACTAAAAATACAAGAAAAATTAGCCGGGTGTGGTGGCGGGTGCCTGTAGTCCCAGCTACTCGGGAGGCTGAGGCAGGAGAATGGCGTGAACCCGGGGGGGCGGAGCTTGCAGTGAGCCGAGATCACGCCACTGCACTCCAGCCTGGGGCACAGAGCAAGACTCCGTCTCAAAAAAAAAAAAAAAAAAAAAAAGAATTATGCTAACTCCTCTCTGACTGTGCTCCAGAAACAGAACAAAACCTGGAGTCAGCACATTTGTTTACAGCATGGTTCACTATTTTAGGCCCACTACTGAGGCCTACTGCTCAGAAAAAAAGATTTCTTTCAAACTATTACTGCTCATTGACAATGTACCTGGTCACCCAAGATGAACATGTACAAAGAGATTAAAATTGTTTTCATGCCTGCTAACACATCATCTTTTCTGCAGCCACATGGATCAAGGAGTAATTTCAACTTTCAAATCTTGTTATTTAAAAAATACATTCCATAAGGCTATAGCTGCTATGGACAGTGATTCCTCTAATGGATGTGGACAAACTAAATTGAAAACCTTCTGGAAAGCCATCACCATTATAAATGCCAGTAAGAACATTTGTGATTCATGGGAGGAGGTGAAAATATCAGCATTAACAGGGAATTGGAAGAAGCGGATTCCAACCCTCATGGATGATCTTGAGGGGTTCAAGACAAGTGGAATAAGTGACCTCAGATGTGGTGGAAACAGCAAGAGAACTAGAATTAGAAGTGGAGTCTGAAGACGTGACTTAACAAACTATAGTATACACAGACTTTTATATCCACTAGGAAACCAAGAAATGTGTGTGACTTGCTTTGTGAAGACACTTGCTTTATTGTGTTGGTTTAGAAACAAGCCTGCATACCTCCAAGCATGCCTACAGCTCCCTCTCCCTGAGTGTGAGCTGGACTTAATGACCTGCTCCTGATGTACAGAACAGGGCAAGAATGATGGAGTGCCACCTCTGTGACACAGTTACACAGGACTGTGGCTCTGTCTCGCTCCACTCTCTCTCGCTGGTGCTCCCTCCCCTGCGCCTCCCTTGCCCTTGCTGACAGAAGCTGCCACGCTGTGAGACCCTCTATGGACACGTGGCAACAGACTGAGTGAGGGGAGGCTCTGCCAGCAGCTCATGAGGGCCTGAAGCCTCAGCCCAAAGGTCCACAAGGGACTGAATCCTTGCTCGGACTCGGACAGCCTCAAGACGACTGCAGCCTGCTGAGATTCTGAGCTGGAGGATGGAGTTATGCTGCCTCCAGAGTCCTGACCCAGAGAAACTATGCAATGATAAATGTGTGTGAGACAGAACATTACATGAGAGTATCTCACTCATGAATAGGATCTCCCAAAAATCTAAACAAAACAATCACAAACACAAGCCAGATACAGATCCTGACCAAACTGGATTTATCCAAAGAATGCAAGTTTCTTTAATATGAGAAAACCAATTAATCCAACTGACTATACTAACCCATTAGAAAAAACATCGGCCAGGAGCGGTGGTTCACGCCTGTAATCCCAGCACTTTGGGAGGCCAAGGTGGGCAAATCACAAGGTCAGGAGTTTAAGAGCAGCCTGGCCAACATGGTGAAACCCCGTCTCTACTAAAAATACAGAAAAAACAAAAGTTAGCCAGGCGTAGTGGTAGGCGCCTGTTGTCCCAGCTACTTGGGAGGCTGAGGTAGGAGAATCGCTTGAACCCAGGAGGCAGAGGTTGCAGTGAGTTGAGACTGTGCCACTGCACTCCAGCCTGGGTGACAGTGAGATTCTGTCTCCAAAAAAAAAAAAAAAGAAAAGAAAACATCTATGAAAGAACATTTCAAAACATATAGAAAGAGTGTTGAACAGAAATCAGTGTCCACTGATGAACAGAAACAGAAGGAAACATGCCTATCCTGATGAAGGGCTTCTACTCAAACCCCACTGGAAGCCTGGGAACGCTCCATCTGCGCCCGCTCCAGTCTGGATCAAGGCAGGAGCCTCCGCCCACTCCTACCCAGCATCACACCGCAACCCCAGCCCGCACCATGAGCTCCCTTTCCCCCACACAAACGGGAAAAACAAACGAGAGGTACGCTAGAAAGAAAGGGACAGAATTCACTTAGAGACTACGGCACTCTATAAAGAAGATACAAGAAATCTTCAGATAAACTCGAATGGTGAGAGTCAAGTAGGTCACCAAACATAAAGTCAATATATAAACATCCAATATTTCTATATATCAGTGGCAATCTTTTATTTTGGGGGGGTGCAGGGGGTGCAGTGGATGGAGTCTCGCTCTGTCGCCAAGGCTGGAGTGCAGTGGCATGATCTCAGCTCACTGCAACCTCTGCTTTCCATGTTCCAGTGGTTCTCCTGCCTCAGCCTCCCGAGTAGCTGGGATTACAGGCACATGTCACCGAGCCGGGCTTATTTTTGTATTTTTAGTAGAGACAGGGTTTTCCCCTTGTTGGCCAGGCTGGTCTCGAACTCCTGACATTAGGTGATCCACCTGCCTTGGGCTCCCAAAGTGCTGGGATTACAGGCGTGAGCCACTGCACCAGGCCAGCAGCAATAAATTGTTAAAAGATAGTATTTACAATAGCAAACAAGAAATACATCTAATGAGTGATACACAAACAAAAATTGTAATACTTTTGTATACATGACGTATTTTCAAAACTAAAAAAAAAATTGGCCAGGTGTGGTGGCTCTCACGCCTGTAATCCCAGCACTTTGGGAGGCCAAGGTGGGTGGATCATCTGAGGTCAGGAGTTCGAGACCAGCCTGGTGAACATGGTGAAATCCTGTCTCTACTAAAAATACAAAAGTTAGCCAGGAGTGGTGGTGGGCACCTGTAATCCCAGCTACTTGGGAGGCTGAGGCAGGAGAATTGCTTGAACCCGGGAGGCAGAGGTTGCAGTGAGACAAGACCGTATCATTGCACTCCAGCCTAGACAACAAGAGCAAAACTCTGTCTCAAAAAAAATTTTTTTTAATTTAAAGATTATACAAAAGTATCTTAAACTCTAGCTGCTTCCTGCATACCACAGTACTATTAATCCTGAGTACAGATCCTTGCATGTGCTAAGAACCACACACACCTTTAGCCACAACTATCTCAGGCTCAATGACTCTGTGACACAGAAAAAGCGCCCTTACCTTCCCATCAGCCGTCACAGCAAAGAGGGTCTGCTCCCCTCCGATTAACTGCACGGGTCTGAGAGTTGCAAGGGCTTCACAGGGAGTGGGAACTTTGACTTTTGCACCTTCAATGCCCCCGAGCTGGCCCCTATGATTATGTCCCCATCCATAAATTGTTCCACTGCCACCAGCAGAGAGAGTCCAGTCATCTGGTCGCCTATAACAAACATCAAGTGAGCATTTGCCATGGGAAAGAACAACGCACACGGCCTCTCGCGCTCTCGATCGACATTACTGCTTGTTTCTAACAGAATAACCTGTTCATCCACTGCACAAGCTGCTCATCTTGCTCTCTTTTAAAAACGTCGTGGCTCTCATGCAGAACATCCATGTTTTCGCTGTCTGCCATTAATTCACGAATTTTCTTAGCCACCTAAACAAAATTATGATGATGTTACAAATCAAACACCCATCTCAACAAAATAGATAAATACTAAGGAAAGACAGAAAGAATCCCTGCCTGAAAATATGAGGGAAGAGCAACACTGCAATGTTACGGCTCATGGGCAAAGCCAATAATGACTGCATCAAGTCTAACATATTAATAATGTCTAGACAGTATCAATCTATCTGTATTTTACTAAAAATAAACTTTAACTGAAATTCACAGTGACAGTTCACTCATTTTCACCTCTGTGTTATTTTCTTTGACATTCCTTGGCAAGCGAAATTTTTCTGTGTCTCATAATATTGGCATCTTTTTACACTATAGCCAAAGAATGTTTTTGCATCCCAAAAGTGATTCCAAAACATCATGCAATACCTCATCAAGAAACAGACGGGGCAACGGTGTTCTTTTGTCAAGGGCCACAGCAACGCGGGAGGCCATGCAGTACCTCCGGAACCAGGCCCACTTGTGTGTCTCGGCACAGCAAGGGAGAGTGTCCAGCTCCAGGTCACAAGCAAGAGCTACCAGTACCTGCAGGCATGGAAAAGGACAAACACAGGGACACTCAGAAATGCAGTGAACAGGCCAAAGTCTCTGTGGCTCCTTCCTCAGGACCTCCTATTCTAGGATCTGCCATGGGCACAGCAAGGATACGGCCACCATCAGTGATGTGGAGACAGATCTCTGACCGTTCCTAGCCACCTGCCATAGAACAACTCTTGTCGCCTGCCATTAAGTGACAAGAACACCTGTGCATCTCAAGGCATGCTAACGGTGACAGGCTTATGGTTTAAGGGTTTAGATTACACAATCATTTCTTGAGATTTTTTCATATTTGACTTCAGGAATACCTACAGCTGCCCTCAGAGGCCTAAAACACACACACTGTACATGACAGCTCTCAGTGGCTCTTTCAGTCAAATAGCTCTATTGTCACTTTAACAAATAAGTCAAACATTACCTTAAAGAATGGGCTGTGGAGCAGCTGTTTGCCACCCCTCACAATAGGATCCTCATATTCAAACTGCCTCTGCAAAGCTTCTGGAAGACCTTTCACCAAAGCAGCAAGAGCACTACCTGTAAAACTCTAAGAAACAACAGAACAGTATTCCATCACAGGAATCCAGGCTGCAGGGCAGGGTGACCATTTGCTTCTATGGTCAAATGTTTCATTATGTTGGTACTATTTCTTCTAAAAAACAAAAAAAGCTTATCAAAATTCTCAAGTAGGAAAAAAGCTAAAAGAACATAAACACTAAAATAAAAAAGAGGAGTCTGAAGACTCATCTCAGAATGTTTACAATGGGCCGGGCGCAGTGGCTCAAGCCTGTAATCCCAGCACTTTGGGAGGCCGAGGCGGGTGGATCACGAGGTCAAGAGATTGAGACTATCCTGGCTAAGATGGTGAAACCCCGTCTGTACTAAAAATACAAAAAAACTAGCCGGGCGTGGTGGCGGGCGCCTGTAGTCTCAGCTACTTGGGAGGCTGAGGCGGGAGAATGGTGTGAACCCGGGAGGCGAAGCTTGCAGTGAGCCGAGATCACGCCACTGCACTTCAGCCTGGGAGCACAGTGAGACTCCGTCTCAAAAAAAAAAAAAAAAAAAAAGAATGTTTACAATGATTTCAGCACATCCGCTTCCAGAGACACAGTCCCTCTCTGGCCCACAAATGCTGCCTGTCTCCTCCCACGGGTAGGACCAAAAGGGACTACTTTAGTCAGCAAAATACAGGGGAGGTCGTCAGTTAGCCTCATTGTAAAGTCCCATCAACACAATCCTGTGTTCACAGCTGTCCCCAGATTTTCACAAAATCAAAGTCCAACCTGAACTCAGTATACACTGCAACTGTGCGAAGTCTGGATGAGACCAAGGTCTCCTTATTCTTTTTTTTTTTTTTTTTTTTTTTTTTGAGATGGAATCTTGCTCTGTCACCCAGACTGGAGTGCAGTGGCACCATCTCGGCTCACTCCAACCTCCACCTCCCGGGTTCCCGCCATTCTCTTGCCTCAGCCTCCCGAGTAGCTGGGACTACAGGCGCCGCCACCACGTCCGGCTAATTTTTTGTATTTTTAGTAGAGACAGGTTTTCACCGTGTTAGCCAGGACGGTCTCAATCTCCTGACCTCGTGATCCGCCTGCCTCGGCCTCCCAAAGTGCTGGGATTACAGGCGTGAGCCACTGCGCCCGGCCCAAGGCCTCCTTTTTCTTATGTGAAATTCCCCAACTCTTCTCAATGATTTAGAGGTTTAGACTACGAAAGCAACATTTTATTCCCCAAGGGTCACAAATCTAGAAATTGTACTAGAATGCTCCATACCAAAGCTCTTGTTTCCCCATCATTTTCTCCAAGCAGCCTGTTTATGTTAATTGACTGCCCAAATTCAGTTGTAAGCAGCTTCCTCAACCTCTGAAGGGCCCACATTCTGTGACTGGCGGCTGAAATGAGCAGAGAGAAAGTATCAGAAGTCTGACGGTTTCTTCCAAGCAGGAAGACAGGTGCAACTGTAACGGTGCCGTTTACCTAGGGCACTCAGCTGTGCACACGCCGCCAGCGAGGCCGCAAGGCGAGGGACAATGCTTCTGTTAGAGGCAAGGTTGAGTCGGAAGTCTAACAGACACGTCACCAAGTCCATGGATGGGCAGGAGAGGACGCAGCGGTCCGAGAGGAGTTCCTTAGGGCCTGTGAATGAGCACTGTGAACATCCCCATGTTTCACAAGCTAGGGACCACCCCATAAAAAGCCAATGAACAAGGGCGGCTCCATCCAGCCCCACCCACCAGAAGGCAACAGCTGATGTGCCCACGCCTGCCACTGCAAATCGGTGAGCCTCGCTCTTCACACTCACACTTCCACTGTAAACCAAAAGCCTTGAGAACTGCACCAGCAACAACTCCTTCCACACCAGGTGAGGAGTGTGTGCCCGACAGCTGGGACGGTTCTCTGTGTTCTGTTCCACACCTCAGTGGGGCCTGTGGGAGCACTCACTCCAACACAGCAGAAGGCAGGCCGTCAGGCACTACGTGGAAATGTGCACGCGTCCGTGTTGCTCCAAAAACAATCCACAGCCAGTCATCTAACCTTGATCGCCAGAAGCCCCTCCCTTACCAGCAGCTGGCATGATGGGATAGACGGTGAAGCGCCAGCCCCAGCCATTCACAGACCCATCGCTGATGAACTTCCACTTTAACTCATCCCCCGGGATGCGCAGCTCGCTGGACCAGTCGGACCACTCTCGGCCTGGAGGAGGAAAGTGCACCCCGGGGTTAGCTTCACCCCACCATCCAATCAACACAAACCTCCTTAGACACAAAGCAGAAGGATTTCCGTCACGTGTGAAGAGCTAGTTCCTCCAATCCAAGCTCTCCCAAGCTGAAGTGCACAGTGACACATCACTCTTGGGATTCACATTTTCATACATACCATTCTTCAGCAAACACTCATTCAGCCCCTGTACCAGGTACCCAGGAAACAGGGCAGGCGGGAGGCACTGCCCTGGCAGAAGCCACCACCCAGTGGGGAAATGACCCCACACAGCCAGGATACAGTGAGTGGCCTCCGGGTCTCCAGCACACACCAGGCCAGGGGCCATGGGGACGTTCCCCGGGAAAGCTCTGATACAACCAGGTGGCCAGGCAGCAGAAGGAAGAACCCTAGCTGTCCCAACAAAGGGCCCATGTGTGTGGTTCAGCACGGCCCAGAGGAGGTCGCCCTCGAGGGAGCAGAGGGCCTGGCTGCTGTGGACAGGAGCGGCGGTGCATTACAGCATCTCAGAAGGCCAAGAGAACCCCGCTAGATTTCTGCTTCAGAAGGACCATCTGGCAGCAGCTCAGGGATGGCCCATAAGGACTTTCTGCTGGACGCAGAAAAACTGTCATATCCAACAACACTACTGAAAACTACACTGGCAGACATCTGTCAAAGCACCAGAAAAACCCACGCCCACCAGGACCAGACCACTTCATGCAAAGCTTTACCTAACTAAGTAATGCCGTGTGAATAAAGCTTTCCTGGGACACAGCCACACCCACTCACGGGCATCCAGTCTACATGTTGTTATGACAGAGGCTGCATTACCCGGCCCTTTACAGGAAACACTTGAGATGAAGGACAAAGAGGTCTCAAAAGGTGCAAACACACCCCTGCACTGCCAATTCTAAAATACTCGGTAAAACAGCATTTCACAAGCCCCCCAGATGTCCTCATCTGCGCCTGCTGGCCTCATGGAGCCTAGTAGCAGAGACAAGCCAGACACGTGGCTGCCTCCATCTACATACAGAAGTCACTCCACACATGGCCACACCCTCGCTGTAGCCGTAAGAAACAAACCCCTTGAAGAAGCTCTGCAGTATGCCAACCATGACCTCGCACGAGCCCTGGCACCCCACACATCTCCAGCACCTTCTGCAACTGTCTGGTGAGGCAGAGCCCATCCGACAGGGATATGGTGCACATATCACAGATAATTACTGTATTTAAAAGTATGGGGAAGAGGCAAGCAAACCTACTATGTTTCACAGCTGAATAGCGTTTTGTCCCTTCCTCAAGACTTCCATGAGAATACAGTAGCAGCATTCTGTCCTACAAATGTGAAGGTTTGTGTCTGCGGAGACACAGGTGGGCAGATGATGCCCTGCTCAACCTCCTGTCCTTACCTGACCGCACACAGACAATCCTGGCTCAACCTCCTGTCCTTACCTGACCACACGGAGACAATCCTGCCTCAACCTCCTGTCCTTACCTGACCGCACGGAGACAATCCTGCCTCAACCTCCTGTCC